TCCCCCCTGTACCCGATGCTCACCTTGTCCCCCAGCCCAGAGCACTGAGTGCCACGTCCAGACACTCCTTGGACACCTCCCTGGGCAGCCCCTTCCAGTGCCTGACCACCCTTTCCAGCAAGAAATTCCTCCTAAAATACATGTAACTACCAGGAATCACTACCTAGTGCCCCCTCCCTCCAAAAAGGTGCTCCCCATGGCCTAATCCAGCTGTGCTTCAGCCCTGAGAAAAAAACACCTGCCATTTTAAACCACGTGCAACCACAGCTGCAGGTGGGATGGTCCTTCCCCCTCCTCCTGCAGCTTCACCCACACACTATTCCCAGCTTTCCCTCCCCATAAGTGACGTGAATGGATTTAGAAAGCAAAATATCCATCCTCAAGGCACATTCTGATCCAGACACCACCATCAGATAGGAGAGTATCCTCGGATATTTATTTATCAAGTTCCAAACCCTTCCCAAGAGTTCCCACCAAAAATAGCCTAAAATTCACTGCGCAAAATGTCCAGTCCTGGACTTTATCCCCAAAAAGCCTTCAACCCTCGGCTTGCACAACCAGAAAAGGGCAGGAACACAAGCCAATCATGTTTTGGGAGGGTTAAGGGGATCCAGCCTCCTACCAGGAGCATCCTCACACCTGCTGTGCTCTCATCCATCCCACGTGCAGATCCTCCCCCTGCTCAGGAAACCCTTCGAGCAGCTGCAAACCAGAGCCCCAAATATTTCAAAAAACAGGTATGAAACACAAGCCCTGGAGCCCAGACAGGGATTTTGGCTGTGCTGGCTCCCTGGGACGAGGGGTCAGCCCTGGCACCTACAGGGCAAACACCAACCCAGGCAAAAGGCTTTTAAAAGGCACTTCAGTTACTATTTGCTCAAATCCAAGGAACGGTCTGACCATCACATGTGGCTTTATTGATTTACTCTGCACTCAGGATCAAAAAAAAAAAAAAAAAAAAAAAGAAAAAAACCCACCAAACCGTGTATCCAGCTGACAAGAAAAAAAAATAAAAAATATCCAATGGAGATGGTATTTCCAGGTGGGAATTACAGCCCTGGCTCCCCATCATCTTTCACGCCCCAAGTATTGGCAGGCTCCCGCTGGAGCTGAGTAATGGCCCATCAGCTCTCTCCCCGGCTTACACATTAACTCCCGGGTCTCCTGTGACATCTGCCCTGCTCTCCCTCCCCCAGCAGCTCCCAGGGGAGCCCCCGAGGCTGCTGCAGACCCCCCACCCCAGCACCCATGGGCTGAGAGCCGAGTCCAGCCACGGACCCACCGCACCGGGAGTGAGGGAGCTGCTCCCCACGTGCAGACAGATGTTTGTGAGGAGAGTGAAGCCGAGAGGTAGAGGAGATGAGGCTGATTAAGCCTCATTATCCTATTTAGCCTAATGATCACAGAGCCCACGTCACTCCGTGGAGAGAACAAGGCATTTAACAGGAGAGGCAGGTACAAGTCCTGCAGCACACCAGGGGTTTACCAGCTCCCAACACCAGGACAAGCTGGATTTCTCCCTCTCCCTGCCCATGGCACCTTCCCAATCCCACCAGCAGCGCCCCTGTGAATTCCTCTTTGCCTACAGGAGCAGTTAAGGGCTTTGCTCTGGAAAAGGCAGGAGCAAGGGAGCTCCTGGAAGCCACAGCTCCAGCACAGGTGCTCCACTGCCCCCTGAGCCAAAGCCCACCCAAAACCCACCCAGATGGGCTCGGGAACACTCGTGGGAACTCCACAGCCTGCAGCACCACCCAGAGAGGTCTCGGGGATCCAGCAGCTCCAAGACAAAGGGAACTCACATGGAATCATGGAATTATTTAGGCTGGAAAAGCCCTATAAAAAAATCATCAAGTCCAGCTCTTAACACAGCAGTGCCAAGGCCACATCCACGCGTCTGTAAATCCCTGCAGGGATGGGGACTGCACCACTGCCCTGAGGAGCCTGTGCCCAGTTTTTGATGCAACACTTCCAATGCTTCCAGTTTTCACAGGCTTGTGAAAATCCAGGAGTGAGAGCAGCCAGGGACAGTCTGAAGAAGAGAGTCAGGGCTGGATGCACCCTCAGGACTCTTGTGGGATTCCTGCAGGAAGGGGGAGGCCAGAGCAAGAAAAACATCACGAAAACCCAGTAAAACACCCCACTCTGAACAGAACTCAGCCAAGTCAGCAGAGCTGCAAGACAGATTTGAAGGATGAGAATAATAACACATAATCCCAGCATTCTTATGCGTTGCAGCAGACCCGAAATAGCTCCTCAGCCACCAGGGACCTGCTGCACTGAGCGGAATTTTTAAGTAAACTTTCCCTCAAAGGCTTTGGGTCTTGGCATGGAAGACCCCGAGCCCCAGGGCTTTTTAGTGAAGGCAACAGGGTCTCATACACCTCCCTCACCATCCAGAAACCTCCTCCAACACCAGCTGAAAGCCAAGTTCTTATTTACAGAGCAGGTGCAAGGTTAAACTAAAGGCTCCGTGCGAGGAGATAGTTGGCAAAACATGGAAGAGCCCCTTTCTTTAAACTCCTGGGGGCTGTTTGTGCCATGGCCCCGCTGCCCAGGCACTCCCCAGTGCCCTGCTGGGGTTTGCCACCCTCCAGCAGCCCAGCTGAGTGCCCAGGCCAGCATCTCCTCCTCCTCCAGCTCAGCCAAAGGATGAACACGCACAGTTAAAAGGCTTCACCCAGGGAAAGGGGGGAAGATAGAGATGTAACAGATTAGATCTGCCTTTTGTAAGGAATTTAATGACTCCAGCTGTTCGGCACCATTAACCAGTTTGTCTGGGAGGTTTAACCCTCTGGCTGCCACGGAGCAAACACTGGGATCCCCCAGCTCTGGGGGTCTGAGGCAGGAGCAGAGCCCTTCTCCCTCCCGGGGAGCAAGGCTGGGCTGATAAAGAGTCATTAAAAGCTTTTACTACCTGTTGCTATCCAGTGAACCAGCCCTGGAGCAGTGCCAGGCAGGGAGAGAGCTCTCTGTGCAAAGAGCAGCAGCTAAAAACAGTTCCCTGGTCCTGCCCTCCCAGGGACAGAGTGCCCCAGTCTCACCAGCATCCCCTCCCCACCCACACTGGGGAGGAAAACAACCCGGAGATTTTAAACTGATTTGGAAAGACCTGTTGGAAATGCAATGGCTTAACCCTTGTCTGAACAGCTCTGGCTCCCGGGGGAGAACTCTGGGCTCCAAGTGAAGGGAGATTCATCTCCAGCCAAATTCCCCTCCCAGCACAGCCCAAGGATGGCCCAAGACTGACCAGGCACTTGTTTTTCATTTCAACACATTCAGCTTTAACCTCTCCCCGTGTTCCTTCCACATCATCCCTCAGCTCCACCAAGTCTCTGGGTACTTTGTCCCCTTCCTAAAGCCTCCCAAAAATCCCCTCCCTGCCCACTGCACCGCCCCTGCCCAGCCCCAGGAGCCATCCCTCTGCCTCTGGGCAGGGAACTCAGAACCCCCCACCCTCTGCCAGCTCTCCTGACCCTGCCTGAGTTATCCAGGGAAGGATAAGCAGCATTTTGCATTGGCACAGCCCTCGACAAGGTGGGTCCTGCCCATCATCCACCAGGAGAGACACCCCCAGGCAGGGACACCCCCTTTTCCAGGAAGGAAAACACCCTGGCAGCAGCACCAGCCTTGAGATATAAACCCTCCTGGAGTTCCACAGCAGCCATGGGGTGTAAACCCTCCCCCAGCTCCAGCCACCAGAATTCCCATGGGACAAGTGCGTGGTGGCACGTGCTGTCCCACATGGAGCAAACAGCCATGCTGGGCCAGAGGAGACAACAGCTCCACTCCCATCAGCATTTAAAGTGGATTTATGGACGTATTGTATATTTTTATATACACAGACAGCACTGCTCCCCACAAGGCCACCCCCTCCCTGCCCGTCCTTGCTCCATCCCGCTCTGCACAGCACAGGGATCTCACTCCCAGCACTCTTCCCCCTCCACACACTCCCGTTTCAACACAGGAGGGACAACTCCAGCCAGCAGGAGGAAGTGGGATTTGTGGTGCAACTGCTTCTCCAGCCTGTTGGGAAACAGCAGCCCGAGGCAGCTGAGCAGACACAGCCCAGGGCCCTTCCAGCACCACGGGGGTCAATGCTGGTGACACACCCTGGGTTAGGCAGGGTTTGGTGGCAAAACAGCTTCCAAGGGCTCCAGTGGCAGCTCTTGGCCCCCGAGTGAATCCCAAAGTGTTGGGGAGCCCCAAAGAGCCAGGCCATGGGCAGGAGGAGAGCATGAGGGAGCCTCTCAGCCATCGGACACTGCTGGTGTCACTGCTCCTTCATTCCAATGCTTCCATTGGCACTGGGAGCCACACACCACAGCTCCCAGCAATTCTCCTCATAGCTGAGGATGCACCTGACTGTACCTGTTATCCTGCAGGGAGAGGCTCCAAAAGCAAGGCAAGGGGAAGGGCTGATGCTCCAGGTTCCCCTGGACCCACTCTTCGAACAGAAAACCTCACACTCCTTCCTCATATCCACAGACACCCCCCCTCTTCCACTAAAATAAATATAAAATCTTAAAAAATCTCTTTGGAAATTTTTGGAGATCTCTTCACTGGCTGAGCCATTCTTGTGTTTTCAGCTGTAAAAATCCAACAGCCTCCCATTTATTTATTTTTTTACTAACAGCCCTCGACACGAGGCTGCTTCATTCGATTTTGCAATGCTTCAAGGGTTGGCAGCTCTGCAAATTAAGCCCCTGGGCTGAGACACAAGGTCACACCTGAGCTGTTTGCAGAGTGTTGCCAGTGAAAAGAACAAAAGCAGAAGCGTGAAGAAGGGGGAAAAAAAAAAAAGGGAAGATTAAAAAAAAAAAAAAAAAAGCTTGTGCAGACAGCCTGGAGCTGCATCCAGCACTGCCAGAGCCAGCCAGGGCTTGGGGAAATCACACTGCCATTAAACCTGCCATGGAAATCCATCTGTATCCAGCTTCCATCTGCTCCTCCTCCCAGCTGAGGGAAGAGCAGGAGCCTCCAGCCCAGAAAGTCCCACTTACCAGGACTGGCATGAGCAGGTCGGCCAAGTACACGAAAGCTGCTCCCAGAGCAAAGCCCAAGGCCACTGGCAGGAAGGAGAAGGCTCCGAAGCTGCCCGACTCCTCGGCCATCTCGATGGCTGGGGCCAGCAGGGACCAGTAGGAAGCAGCCAGCATGACCTGGGGACAGAAGGGGACAGGTGAGAACCTGGGGGACACAGGGGGACACGTGACAACCTGGGGGACACAGGGGGACAGGTGACAACCTGGGGGACACAGGGGGACAGGTGACAACCTGGGGGACACAGGGGGACAGGTGAGAACCTGGGGGACACAGGGGGACAGGTGAGAACCACGTAGGCACCGATGCCGAGGGGATCCATCCCCAGCTGCAGCCAGATTGTCACCTCTGCCACCAGCCCCCCCTCTGGCCCAGGACACCCCCGTGCTCACCCCCATGAGGTACAGGACCAGTGCATTTCCAGCAGGACCATCAAAATCCACTTCCCAACAGAACAAATCAGGGAAGGGTGGAAAAGAGAGGTTTTTCCCCCATTTTCACCACGAGCCTTTTCCGTGGCTCAGGAGTCCAAGGTAGCAAAGGAAGGCCAGGAGCTCATTAGGGTGATTTTCTGTGGCATTAGCACAGCCCTGACAGCCCTTTAAACGGGAGTGGCAGCGGGGTGGGAGCAGGACAACGTCCTCTCCTCGGGTGGTTTGCAGTGACAGAAGTGGGTCTGTGACCCTACCAAGGGTCAAACCAAGTCCTTGCTCACCCAGCTCTGGGCTCCTCCACAGAGTGGGAAGGGAGGAAGGAATCACAGCATTGGAGTCATCCAGAGACAGAATGAACACTGGATAACACCTGGAGCCAAAGAGCCACCTCTAAGTCAGCCTAGGGCACACACATTTTCTACACTGATTAACCTGCCAAGGTCCCCACCTTGTCACCCCAGATCAAGGTTAGGGCAGCACGAGGGCTTTCCTTGTGCACAGACCAACACTGGGGCTGCTCCTGTCCCAGCATCCAAGCCAGAGGGTCCAGAATGGGAGTAGAACCATCCCAAACAGCAACACTCCAGCTCCCAGCACAGTCCAAGTCCTACTGCAGGGTCTGAGCTACAAAATTTGCACCACGAAAATAAACCTTCCCAGTAGCTTGGGGCTTAGCAGGGAGGGAGAAAGAACAGCCACCCCAAAGATCATAAAAATCCGAATGTGGGATCTGGGAGGATCTCCAGCCCAGCCCTGCTCAGAGCTGGTTGCTCAGGGTGTCACACAGTGCAGAGAACAAAGCACCAGTTTCACAAGCTGCTACTAAAGAACACAACATTAACATGCATTTTATCACCTTATCTCTTCCTCTCCTCTAATTAAAAAGTCATCAGCCCAACACCCTCTGCAGCAGCCCTGGCCCCAGTTCCTCTCCCTGCAGCTGTTCTGCTCTGCAGGAGGAAGCAAATCAGTGAGACAGGCACTGATGGGCTCAAAAATCCCATCGGGATCTGGGTCAGGCTTTGGGAAAAGGTCTGTGCAAGGCAGGGACACGGTGGCACCCACAGCCCTGCCATGGGCAGGCAGGGTTTGTGTTCCTCAGGGTGGACAAGGCAATGCTCCCAGCTCCCTTCCAGCCCTGCAGGGAAACACATGAGTAAGAGGATTCCAACAGAGAAAGGGGTGTGGGACCAGGATCCAGTGGGAATAAGCAGTGATCCTGGAGACAGCAACAGGAGGGGAGGAAAAGTGACCCTACCTGTCCCTCCAGGAACAGCCCAGCACCCCATGAAGTCCCATATTTAGGATACTCAGAATCCTGGAATGGTTTGGGTTGGAAGGGCCCTTAAGCCCATCCAGTGCCATCCCCTGCCATGGGTTGGGACACCTCCCACTAGCCCAGGGTTGCTCCAAACCCCATCCAACCTGGTCTTGGACACTTCCAGGAATCCAAGGACAGTCACAGCTCCTCTGGGCAACCTGGGTCAGGGCCTCCCCACCCTCCCAGGGAAGAATTTCCTCCCGATTTCCAACCTAAACCTCCTCTCTTCCAGTTCAAAGCCGTTAAAGAGCCGCTGCTCAGCCCCCCCAGCACGAGAAGTGGCCCCTGGAAGAGGAGTGGGTACCAAACCATTCCACCTTCAATCACTGTGAAGGGAGGCACGAGCTGCTATTGCTGCAGACACCAGTCCCGGGGGGATTGTGTAAATCTCAGCTCGCTGTGAGTAAGAAGAACGAGGGTTGTCATGTCAGGCTTAAGCACGGCTGTCAAACTTCATATTTCAAATGCCACCTCCTTTAAAAAACAACCACACACCCCGGCGTGGAAACACAAGCAGCAGGGAGAGGCTTGGCAGAATTATATTGTCATCTCATGTTAAGATATCATTTCCCCATGGAAAACAGAGCCCTGACAGAGCTCAGCCTCCAGATCCTGTCAGCACCCAAGTCAGCACCGGAGCTCCCACCGGCTCTGCCGAGCACCGGGAAGGGGGAAGGGGATGACAGAGCCTTGAGCCATCCCTGCCTGGGAAGAGAAGTGATTTACTCCTGTTTTATGCAGAGAAACCCCTTAACCCCACTCGGTGGGGGAGCTGGAAGTTGCTGTCCTTCAACAGCCAGAAGACACAGTGTCCCTGTGCCTCCCCCCTCAGCCCACCCCTGAGCTCAGGTCGGGATTTAGGGATGTGGGATTTAGGGACATGGGGCTGCCCAGAGCAGCCCAGCTCCTGCCCACCTGCTCCTGCCCACCCAGCTCAGCGTCAGAGCTGTCACTCACCCCTCCATTCAGCAGCATCTCTTATCAGATGATGCTCAGGAACTAACAAAAGGGTGAGGATTTCTGCCAACAACCTGATTTCGGTTACAAATTCCCACTCAATCTCAAATCTTTATAATTGTCCAGCCAGGGAGAGGAACACAGCTCCCAGTGTCTCCCAGCCAGCTGGTGTAGTAGGAATAAAGCAGAAAAAGCCCCCTGGGCTCTTCTTGGATCAATAACACCTGGAGTCACTTGGGCAGAGGGGAGGATTTTCCACACCAAGCCCTCCTCTCACACCAGTCCCACTACGACAGGGAGCAGGGGACAGGCAGCACCAGCTCCCTGGCACTGGGGGACACAGCTCCTGCCAGACTGGATTTGGGCATTTTCACAGACTTTGTGCTCCAAAGCCAGGATACAACAAGGCTGTAAATCCATCAGCTCTTGGGAAAACATACCAGGGTCGGTGGGGGAGGAGAAACACACAGGACAAAGCATCACCAGGTTGTGGGGAGCCCAAACCCTTCTCCAGGATACATCAGAGGAACAGGAGACAAACCCAGGCTCAAAAACCAACCATGGAAAATGACTGAATCCAGCTCTGTGTCCTCACACTGCTGGGAATCCCCCAGAGCACAGCAGGATTTAACCACACTGCACCCAACCCCTCTGCCAGGGCTGGAAGGGTCTCCAGTGGGGCAGGGGGGCCCTGCACATCCATGTCTGTGCTAAAATTAAACCCCCTGTGAAAGCAGCAAGACCTGGTCACACCCCTGGGTGGCCACTGGGCAGCCCCAAGGGAAACACAGGGAGCAGAAAACCCAGGAGGAGGAGATGCCCTTGGCAGGACAGGAAAGACAAGTGGAAGCTGAGAGACTGGCAGGACACTTTCCCTGCCAAACTTTTCCACTTGACTTCATTAAGGCTCCAATAACAAGGGCCAGCCCCAGCAGCGCTGTGTGAATTCCTGATGCTGTTTTAAGCAGCACTGAAAGGGAATATTTGAACCCAGCTGTGCCTGGTGTGGGTTAAGGAGCGTGGCTGGATGATTTTCTGCTCCATCTCGGACACAAGAAATCAAAGTAGAGCCCAGCAAGAGGAGCAGCAGTGTGAGGCTGCAGGGAAGGAGGGCTGCAAGTGTTTGTTCGTGATGTCTGAGCCCAGCACCTCCAGCACAGCAGAGAACAGCTGAAAAAAAAAAAAATCTTATTTAAGAATATCAAGATTTAAGAGAAAAGCCAGAATTCCACATCAGATGCCCCAGCAGCAAAGCCTTGTCTCTATGGAAACACATCACCTCGGAGGCTTCCACATCCAAACCCCTCAGTTATCTGTGAGCTCCAGGGAGGGAACTGAGGCAGAGGGAAGGCAAATCCTCGGGCACCAGCACGGTGCTGGAAGGAGCTGAGCTTCTCCACACCACAGGGAGCAGCTGCACAGGTCCCTCCACCTGAGGTGACACCTGTGCCACCAGACATGGGCAGCCCCAGCTGTGCTTTGCCATCCAGATGCTCCCAGTACACACAGGGGCTCTCCCAGTACACCCCAGTTCACAGCCCCGTGCCCAGGCTTATCCCAGCTCCCCCAGATCAAATGGAGCATCTGCAGGGAAGGCAGTGCCAAGACACAGCTTTCTGTGTCCCAAAAATAACCCTCTGCATCCCAGACCACCCTCCCCGAGGTCACCTGGACATCCCTGTCCCACATCCTCCTCCTGCCTCAGCAGTGGCAGAGAAATCTTTAATTAATTCTGGGGTTATTTTGCTTTGCAGCTCCCAGAAGACAAGCAGGGAAATGATTCCCAAGAGGATGGAGAACCATCCACTCTACCCTGTTTTGCCAGCAATCCTGGTCTTGGAGAGCCCCAAGGATGCTCCTGGAACCCAGGTGATTGTCAGGGATCCTGAGCTAAGCACAGCAAGGCTGGAAGCAACACCTGCCCCTGAAAGCACAGGAGCTGGAGCTTTGCTGGCCCTGGCAGAGCACCAGGGAAGTTAATTCAACCCAGCAGCAGAGATTTCAGAGGGTAAGTTGTGCCTCTCCTTATCCCTCAATGCTCAGAGAAGCAGCCCAGTATCTGCAAGGGACCACCAGACAGAGAGTTTTAAACAGAAATCCCTCAGAGCAGGAGCAGCCCATGGTCAGAGCAGCATCTCTGCAGAAACACTTCTCACAGGGAAGAGAAAACAGTACAAACAGGTTTCAAAACTGGCTGGTCCACGTCCTTTTAGCCCTACACAAAGCACAGAGAGCCTGTGCTGCTCCCACAGGACACACCAGCTGTGCAGCACAAGCCTGGATGGGGCAGGAACAGCCTCTCATTCCAGTCTGGGCTCCCTCAGGCAGGACACAGCACCACATCCCCCCTCCAGCATCCCATCCCACCCCCACCCTGATACAGGGAGCTGTCAGCTGGCCACAGCCCCTCTTGCCAAAGTGCTGGGTGGTTTCTGCTCCAGCTTCTCCTCAGACTCTCTGCAAAGCCACCGAGCACACACAGCACTAGTGCTCTCCCTGGGAAAGAGGGAAGGAAACGTTGCCTGTGTTGTTAAACCCTTTCAGGTAAAGGGAAGATGGAGACACAGCTGCTCACACTGTTGGTCAAACAATGGCAAGGCTGCCCAGCTGAGGAAAGGGAAACTCAGGGGGACCCCATGTCACCAAGGGCCCCCTCGCTGTCCTTCCCCTGGGAAAGTTCTCTTCTCCTGCTCTGAGCACAGCAAAGCGAAAAAGCTGAGGGGAAAAGCAAATGTTTGCAGGACTTCTGCTTCCTGAGCCACGCCTGGGGCAGGCAGGGATGACTCAGAAATCCTGGCACAGGGACGTGGTGGCCACGGCAAGGAGGGCACCTGAGCCAGCAGGTCCTAATCCTAATGGGATAAACCATGGAACAAGGATCCACTCCAACAGCCAAGGGGAATTATTCCCATCATTACCAGAAAAGCTTCCAGCTGAGTTCTTGTCACCCACCACAGCACCCAGGAGCCACCAGGACACAGCGAGTGGGACCTGGCAGAGCCCAGGTACAGCCACCACACACCCTGGGGAGATGCACCTTCCCCCCGGAGCAGCCCTCAGGTGCACTCCAGCACCTTGACTGGGGGGTTTAACAGCTGAACTGGATTATCTTAGAGGTGGTTTTCAACTTTAACGACTCTAGGAGGGGAAACAAAGGTGACTTAACGAGCCTTGATGAGCTCCACCTGCAGCATTGGAGGGGCTGCAGAGGGGAGGAGGAGGGTGTTGTACTCACCCCTGCAGCAAAGCCCAAGCTCCCATCCAGGATCCGCCTCTGGAAGAAACCAAACACAAAACTCACCTTGTAGTGCTGGCAGGAGCAGCAGAGTGTGACCACACCATGGGCCACACCAGGGGGAAAGGCATCTGCTCCCTGATGGGAAAGGGGGATCACAAGGCTGGAGAGGGACTTTGGATGAGAGCCTGGAGGGACAAGACAAGGGGAATGGCTTCCCACTGCTAGAGAGCAGGGATAAATGGGATACTGAGGAGAAATTTCTCCCTGTGCGGGTGGGGAGGCCCTGGCACAGGTTGCCCAGGGAAGCTGTGGCTGCCCCTGGATCCCTGGAAGTGTCCAAGGCCAGGTTGGAAGGGGCTTGAGGCAACCTGGGCTAGTGGAAGGTGTCCCTGCCCATGGCAGGGAGTAGACCTGAATGAGCTTTAAGGTCCCTTCTAACCCAAACCATTCCATGATTTATGGAATCACCAGGATCCTACAGGACATCCTGGCTCCCTCAACCCAATGCTGCCCAGCCTGGGCTGGGCAGAGCCTACCCCAAAGGATGTGAGAAGTTAAACCAGCAGCTCCCCTGCCCCTCTGCACATCCTGCCCTGCGTTTCCCCTCGCTCCTGGAAGACCTTCATTCCTCCAACACCCGGCTGTTCTGAACAAACCCACTGCTGTGCCCATAGCCCAGCACGAATCCTGCCCACTCCACTCCCAGGGCGGGTTTTTATTCCCTCCCCCAGGAAGAAAACCCATGTGGGCTCCTGCAAAGGGAATCTCAGTGTGCAACCAACTCCTGAATAAATCATCACAAGAGCGAGGCATAAATAATAAATCCATCCGGGCAATTTGGAGCACGGTGGCGAGGGGGCCTCTAATTTTGGATCCCAGATGACTTAAAGATCAGCTCTTTGCTTGCTCTGAGCACGGGCTGACCCAAATCCTGCCCTGGAAACGTGGCAGCAAAACCAGGTTACAGGAGGGGAACCTGCTGTGTTCCAAACACTACTGGGAGCACATACCACAGCCCAGGAGCAGGAATTTGATTTCCTTCTCCTCTGGCCTGTTGAGAAATGAGCTGGATTTTTGTCCCTCTCTTGCCCCAGGGCCATTGTTAAGCCCCTCAAAGTTGGGAGGAGGCAGCCAAGGCCCCCCATGAGCAGGGCACAGCCCTGTATCCCAGGTCCTGCTGGTCTCCCAGGGATGAGGGGGGTGATCCCAGGTCCTGCTGGTCTCCCAGGGAGGAGGGGGGTGATCCCAGGACCCACCTGGCCGCTGGAGAACACGAACACCAGCGCTGAGCCCGCCGCCGTCAGCCCCCAGGTGAGGAACGTCCCCAGCACCGCCTGGATCACCGGCCCCAATCCCGGGATCATGCTGACCTGGGGGAGAGGAGAGAGGTCAGGAGAAGCACCTGGTGTTTGCAGAGAGAGAACAACCCCCAAAACTCCACCCTGGTCAAAGGGGGAGCACTCCAAACCCTTCCTCACCAAAGGGGACAGAGCGAGCTCAACCATCCTCCTCTGAGCTTCTCCCCCTTAGGCGAGGCTTTGCAGCTGAACCCAGCGGGGCAGGAGGGGTGGGACACACCCCATCCCACCTGGAGCACCACCCCACACTGATCTGGGGCTCAGCCCCACCACCTGGCACCAGGGCAGAGCAGGAATGGGTGCTCAGAGCTCGCCCGGGCCCCCGTGCCACGTCCCACTTGAGGGTGGCACATTTTTGTGCCCAAAGCCCACTTTTCCTGGTGTGGAAGGCAAACGCCCTCGCAGCACCTGGGAATGAGCAAAAAGGGGAACAAATCCCAGGGGTGGGCCACCAAAACACGGCTCAGGGCTGTGCTCAGGGGGCCACCGAGGCCAGGGGAGGGTTATCCAAGCACTGGGAACGTCCCAGGGAGCAGCACTGCTGTGGAAACACACACGGGGTGGAAATGTGGACAAATAAACTTATATGTATTGACATATTTATATGCAAGTATATCAAAATACACGTGTGTTTGTACACCTGTGCAAATATATCAAAACACACATATACATTTGTATGCAAACACATCAAAGTGTCCATATACATTTATATGTTGATATATCAAATACACGTGTATTATACGTTTATAAACAAATATATAAGAAATAGACACAGTTTTGCCACCTTGCCCCGTCAAAAGCCCAGGACCCCTAAAACCCCCACACCTGGAGCCCCCCGGTTCTGCCCCCAAAACC